GATTAAGCACTAATAGCGCTCACTCTCATAAGCCTGAAACACAAACCCTAAACCCTAAACCCTAAACCCTAAACCCTAAACCCTAAACCCTAAACCCTAAACCCTAAACAAAACCCTAAACCCTAAAACCTAAACCCTAAACCCTATACCTAAAACCCTAAACCCTAAACCCTAAACCCTAAACGAAACCCTAAACCCTAATAACTAAACACTAAACACTAAACCCTAAAGATTAAGCACTAATAGCGCTCACTCTCATAAGCCTGAAACACAAACCCTAAACCCTAAACCCTAAACCCTAAACCCTAAACCCTAAACCCTAATAAGTAAACCCTAATAACTAAACACTAAACACTAAACCCTAATAATTAGACCCTAAACGCTGATAGGTTCGCCCCTCCCACGCCTGAAACACAAACCCTAAACCCTAAACCCTAAACCCTAGACCCTAATAACTAAACCGTAAACCCTCATAACTAGACCCTAAACCCTAAACATTTTCCCACGCCTGAAACACAAACCCTAAACCCTAAACCCTAAACCCTAGATAGTAGACTGTAAACAGTATACAGGAGAGAGTAGAGAGTAAACACTGAACCCTAAACCCTAAACCCTAAACCCTAAACCCTACAAATGCCTTGCACAGAACGGACGACAGCTCCCACCAGCAGCAGCAACAACAGCAGCAGCAACAACAGCAGCAGCAACAGCAGCAGCAACAACAGCAGCAGCAACAGCAGCAGCAACAGCAGCAACAGCAGCAGCAGCAGCATCAGCAGCAGCAACAAATAGATATCTATACCTTGACGAGTGTTTCGCTCCATCCTTCTTTGTCTGTATTTTGTTGCTGCTGCTGCAGCTGCTGCTGCAGCTGCTGCTGCGCCTTTGTATCTCCTATCTGCTGCAGCAGCGCCAGCAGCAGCTGCCCCCTGCATGCACTGGGGGGCCCCAGCAGCAGCACATCTATAAACCTTCTATCGCATAGGGGGCCCCCCCCCTCATGGTATCTATTTGCTGCATCAGAAAGAGAAGTTCGTTTGGTTGCTGCTCTGTTTGCTGCTGCTGCTGCTGCTGCTGTTCTTGCTGCTGCTGCTGCTGCTGCTGCTGCTGCTGAAGGAGCAGCAGCAGATACACCCATCATGCTGCTATCCTCTAATACAAGTTTATATTTTGCTTCTGCTTGTTGT